ATGAGACTGTAAAAGTACTGCTGGATAATGGAGCTGATCCAAAAAGAGGCCAAGAATGGGGTGATGTTAGTACATAATATCATTTACTTGTACATTAGAATAGCAGCAAGCATGATAAGGAATTTATTACATGGTTAATTCAATTACTGTCCTTCATGTCATATTAATGTCCCTTATTATCATAACTCACTATAATACATTGTAATTACCATTTATGTACATGTAGTTGGTTATTTTCATTGGTTGGGATTTGCTCCTAGTTAATTTGTGCATGGTTTTAATTTTTGTGGTTGACAGTTTTAAGGAAGTGTTACTTAAATGATTTTATAGGTGGTTGGCGCTAAATTATTATTTTTTAATTTTTTTATTATAGCTTGCACCACTGATTGAAGCAGCAAGAGAAGGACATATTAATGTAGTTGAACTATTATTATCCAAAGGAGCTGATCCAAACTATATAGATGATGTGAGTATAAGTACATGTACATGACAATTAATAACATTTTGTAAAAATAATATTGTAATTGTATACATGTACATTATAGATATATGTACATGTACTGTATTTGCTTGAATGAACACCCTCCCAAATAAACACCCATGACTTACATGTATATTTTCCTACTATATAATGTACATTCTAGATACACATATTTTGCCCATTATACTGTTGTTTCTGTCTTTCTTTAAATTCTAAGTACCGTAAGTTTAGAAATTTTCAAAGAAATAAATTTTAGCAATTTTGTGCTAGCTACATGTACTTTATTTTGTACATGTAAAATTTGTGTCGACAAAATTTTGTGGATAATCATAAAATGCATCATCACTGAGGTCATGTGATATAATAATTATTGCATGTGGACTCTCATTGTTTTCAATTTTGTTTCTCTGGGTCTTTAGCTACAACAGCTGCTTGTGACTTTTCTTCTGGCTTGTCTTCTTTATCTATCTTCCTCATTTTTGTCCACATGCTTGAAGAACTTGTACAGTGCCATTTTTATTGTGTGGACATTTCATTTATAAAGGGTTAAAGTATTAATTTTTGTGGTTAGATGGTACTGGCGAAAACATTGGAAATTACTGCACCTTGAAAATTTCATATTCCGTAGGTATGTAAGTGTGCATGCGTAATCAACCTGGGTAGGCTAGGTCTTTGGTTTGTGCATGTTTGTTGTTTATGTCTTAGTGAAAATTACAGAATTTTTGGGCTTTTAGTCAGCAAGTATCATTCTGAATTTACGAGTGTTGACACTAGCATGCTACATGTACTTTCTATTGGTACCAACACTTGTGCTTAATCTAGCATGGGATTAGGTGAACATTTCTAATCTTTCTGGCTCAGAAGCTCATTATGATATGTTGACTGAACCATCACACCAGCTGTGTCAGTTCAGACAGATGACATGTCCTATTCAGTGAAAATTATTAGTCCTCACACACAGGCTCAGCTGAGTGTAATAAATAAGTGGGAGGAGGAAGGTAATTTGTTGACATAGAAGTGTTGACAGAGAAATTGTTTCATAAGTTTAAGCTGTATATCTAAGAAGTGAATATTGCTTGAAATTTATTCAATCTGATCATGATACATGTACTAAAGAGCGTCAAGTTCTAGTTGCTACTAATGAAGATCTATGCAAGATGTATCAACTCCATGAAGGAAAGAAAAGCATTATCTTGTGGTTGAAGGTAACATATGCTACACATCTTCTTTCTTCAAGTGACACCAGTTGTTGTAGTTCCAAGAAATAGAAACAAGGAACTAATTATGATGCCTGTGTTCAATCATTAAAAAAATGGCGATGGGCATGGTAAACTAGGCTCCACTTCTTCTAAATCTAAAGTGTCTTCTTCCCCTCCTTCCTTAACTCCACTTGCTGGTAAGCGTTCTTTATCTAATAAGGTTCCTCTGAAGCAGTCTAAGTCATCCAAAACGACCTCATCGAATGATACTCAACCTTCTTCTCCTGACCACGTGTCTCCCAAGCCACAATCTCTGGATGCCTCTTCCTGTAAGTCCCTCAGCGATTCACCAAGCAGTCCTACTAAGTCTCAAGACCCCATTTGATGTGTCT